TCAAACTCACGAACCATGGGATCATGACGTGAGCCGAAGTCGGACGCTCAACCGACTGAGCCACCCAGGCGCCCCCGAATGTCCTTTATTACAACACTATACAAGTACAGAATTGGAAGCAACCCCTCGAATCACTCGGAGTAGAAACTTCTGGAGGCGTCCTTGGTTCTCTCTTCCTCTCTCACTTCACCTCCTTGCCACCAGCAGGTCCTTTTGCTTCTCCTCCTGAAATCTACCCAGAATCTGACCCTTCTCGCCACCCACATGGCCACCACCTTGGTCTGAGTGCCACCGAGCCTGGGTTCTTACATACTCTCCCACGCTTGTCTGTCCTCAATCAGCACCCTCTTAAAACTTAAACTGGATCATCCGTCCCTCCTCTGCTCAGAGCCCTCCCTGCCTCTCAGCTCACTCAGAATGGAAGCCAAGAGCCTCACATCAGTCTACCGGGCCCCTCGGACCTGTTTCTGCCCGCCTCGCTGACCTCCTCTGCCACTACCCTTCCCTCCCTTGTTCACTCTGTACCAGACGCCCCTGGATACTCCGGGCCCACTCCTGCCCCAGGGCCTTTGCACTTGCTCTTCCCGTTCCTCCCCCATTTGCCAATGGCGCTTTCTCTTTTTCTTTCTCCTTCTTCAGGTCTCTGCTCAGATAGCTCCCCTGCAGCGAAACCTTCTCCTTGACGATTTCCCTTCCTAACCCAATCCTCCCCGTCCCCCCTCCCGGCCGCATTTTTCCCATAGTTGTAATAACTAACACACTACGCACAGTACTTATGTGTTGTCTGTGTCTTATCCTGACTCCTCTGCTAGAACCTAAGGTCCACAAGGGAAGGCAAGGACTTGGGTCTTTCTTATGCCCTTGTCACCTTTACAGCACCTCCCGCCCCCCAGGCGCTTAGGAAGTGCTCGGTAAGTAGTTGCTGAATGGATGAATGAGCCCAGCAATTAGTAAAAGGGTCTAATCTTACGATGGAACAACCCAGCACACTTCAAAGAGGAGACACGGAGCTGTGCATGGGCCAAGCAGGAGAGGGTCTCAAACACGTGACCCGGTGACGGTAGCGAGGCCAGCAGGCTGATGGCCTCTAGAAAGCCTGCAGAAAATGCGCGCTCCGCACTACTGTACCTTGTTCTTGAACGTGTGTGCGCGCACTTACCCGGGGCTGGAGCAGGCGTTATGGGATGAAGGATGCCTTCTACTCTTTCGTAGTGTTTTATTGCCTCTATCTTACAAAAGCCTTGCGGGGCGCCTTGGCTGGCTCAGTCGGCAGAGCGTGCAACTCTTGATCTCAGGATCATGAGATCTTGTGGGGCATAGAGCTTACATAAACACACACAAACACACACACACACACACACACACACACACACACACACACAGAAAGCCTTGCAGCAAACAGCACAGACACATTAACTGTGATCCAGAGTGCTGGCTGTGTGGGACTGCTTACACTACAGTCTTCTTCCCATTTCTCTGCATTTGGTTTTAAACCTCTCATGCAAGAGAGGTTTGAATCTGGCTGACGGCAGGCACCTCTCTTTGAATCTGGCTGACGGCAGGCACCCACAAAGCAAGAGAAGTCAGGGTGGCCTGCCCTCCTTCTCACCTCCCCGGGGACCTCATGGGGCCAGTGACCGGGAGTTAAAGAGCAAACTCCTGGGATGACAACCTGGTGGTGACACTAACCAGGCTGTCCCTTTAAGAACACCCCCAGGATCGGGTGCCTGGGTGGCTCAGTCGGTTGAGCATCCGACTTCGGCTCAGGTCATGATCTCACGGTTCGTGGGTTCAAGCCCCGGGTCGGGCTCTGTGCTGACAGCTCAGAGCCTGGAGCCCACTTCGGATTCTGTGTCTCCCTCTCTCTCTGCCCCTCCCCCGCTCACACTCTGTCTCTCTCTCAAAAATAAACAAACATTAAAAAAATAAACAAAATTATATATGTATAAAGAATGCCACCAGGAGTTTATGCGGACGGCGTTTCTGTGTGGGAAAAGGAAACTACCCTGGAGATGGACGGAAAGGATGGCTGCACGACATTGTGAATGTACCTCTTGCCACCAAAATTGTACGCTTGAAATGCTACATTTGTGTTACGTGTACCACATCAAAACGGACTTTAAGGAAGGGCTCCTGGGTAGCACAGTGGGTTCAATGTCTGACTTTTTTTTTT